CACACTCCATAAACATGGCCCACACCAAGTGCATTTGTCCTGTTGACTGGGTGTTGTGCGTGCGTGTGTGTGTGTGTGTGTGCGGGGGTCTGCATGCAAATGCGTTAGCCAAATTTACACACACTTTGTGTACGTGTGTGCGTGTGTTTATTTGTTGTTGTTTATGTATGAATTGTTGTAGTTGTTGTTTATCCAAAAATTATACGCCTCACATGCGGCCTCAACGTTTGTTCCGGCTAGCAGCCGGCAGCAAAACATTTGCCAAGCTGTTGACTGCCCAACGGCTGCCTTCCTCTGCCATCCACAAGTCCCGCAATGTGCCTTCAAATTGAGCCAAACTCCAATTTTATGGCATTATTCGCACGCGTGCAACAACTTGCAACTTTTTAGTATGTGCCAATGAAGTTGCTCTCCTCATGACTCCTCATTTCTCTCGATAATGACGAAGTTTTACACAAACTTTTAATTAATTTAGTGCACACTCTACTCGTTTGCAGTTGCTTTGCTGCGGTCCATAAATCAAATCAATCAAATGTGAGCTTAGCGAGTTTCTAACTATATTTCCAGCGCTCATTGATCAAATTATTGAGATTTATGGAGCAGGATTTGGGAAGCATGACGAAGTCCTAAAATTTATTAAATTAAAAAATAAGTGATTATATAGATAATAATCTAATGCAGCTAATCATTTCGAATAATATTTTAATAAAGTCAATGAAGTTCCTAAAATTGTCTGATGAAATTTAAGAACCCAAATGAAATTTAAAAATTTAATTCCTCTATGCGACTCCTAGCAAACATTGATTAAAAATTTAACTACGCTGTGTTTTTATGTTATGGATCTATTTAATTACATTTTCTTTCTTTTAAACTGTCAATCACTATCTCTCCATCTCCATCTCTCTGTGTCCTGACAGTGCCTTGTTCGCTGTCTCTCCAGTAATTTCTTCTCTACTTCTTCCATTGCTCCCCCTCTCTGAATTGTGATAGACAGCCTCACTCTTTTATAATCTCCTTCTCGTTGACAACCTATCCCTTACAGACTACTCTCAGGCTCTCGCTATCTTTATCCTAAGTAGTTCCCTCCTTTCATTTCTTTAAATAATCGTTACCTCACCTGCAGCTTACTCAAACTCGTTCGTTCAAAGCTTCCCCATTCACATATATTATACATTTTTGTTGCATCTCTCAGGCTTCAAGAAAATAATCATGCAGTACAACCGGCATGAAGATATAATATATATATTTCTGGATAAAAAAAACCTACACTACACACATCATTAACTATTCAACTTATATAAACCTAGCAACGAAACAAATCCCCGCTGCTTGAGTAGTTTTTAGTATGTGAACTTTGCGCCCTTCAATTGTATTCACTAAAACTCAATGCTTGCGCTGGAAAACCTCTAGCGACAAGCTTTGAATGGAATACCATTCAGTAGTCTTTGCTGTGGCTTATGCGATAGTTTTTCCGCTTTAACAGCTCGACGCAGCTTTGATGCATATCCCCCAGGCTAAACTGCTGCTTTATAGCCCTTTGCCACATCATCATCAGCAGCAGCAGCAGCATCAGCCATGTCCAGACACATGCTGCACCGCATCCGACTCAAACACTGACTAGAAGATGGGCACAGAGCGCTACGTCTCTCATAAACTGCATAAATTTTTAATAAGCGCAGCACACAAAATGCGTCCAAGGGACATTCCCAACAACAACAGCATCAGCAGCAGCAGCAGCAGCAAAGTTGACAGCTGCGAGGGGAGCTGCGCTACTGCCCACTTTGTCTGAGTCAGCATCTAAAACTGGGCACTTGAAGCTGACTCTGAAGCCCCTCGTTGGCAGCCTCTCCCTGTGTCTGTCTCAGAATTGCAGCACATGTTCCATTTGCCTGTCAAATGGCAGCCAATGGACAGAGCTCTGCGTATAAGCTGTAGCCGCTGCCACGCCCAGCCGCAACTGCTGCTGCAATTTGTGCCCGAATTGCGGTTGCAGTTAGCAGCAACAGCAGCAACAATTGTTGCAACAGCAGCCGTTGTCTGCACTTTGCCATTTGATAGCACAGTTAGGGCAACAACAAAAAACCATTCAACAGATAGAAGTTACGAACACGATATCAGAACAAAGCGTCGACAGGTGTTAAACTAAAGCCGTTAAAACCCTTCAGCAAAATGTCAAACCAGTTAGCACAGCAATAAATGCGGGCATTTGGGTAAACAGGTTACCCAATACTCCTATGGCTGTGGAGCATATTTATGATTTATGCAAAACTAAAAGAATTTAATTTTTAAATTGCAAGAAAAATAGATTTTTGTATGCTGACTTTTCATTTTAGCATTATTAAATACTAAAATATTTTTTAAGTAATATAGTCTCTATTATACGTATATATTTGCTTTCAAGTTGTTCACGAACTCATCGTAAGCTGAAACTTTATTTTTGCCTTGACAACGAGTCGATTTTCAGCGTTTCACTTCACGCACCTGACGTTAACCTTTTCCATTAATTGATGGCCCAACCAAATCCTGCCCGATATCAACCACAATTCCACTCCCCTCCCTCCAGGCTCTGCCCACACCTCAGTCAGCGCCATCGCCAACACCAACGCCAACGCCAACGCCAACGCCAATTGCAAGCGATTTATTACTCAGAGTCGCGTTCCAGTCGCATGAACTGTGAACGACAGCGAAATTTAAAACGCTTTTGACAAACCGAATGCCGAGGCAATTTGCGGCTCGACTTCAATCAGCTTCAATCCGACTGTCGAGTGAATGACAATTTCAGAGAAGCTTCGGAGAGCTTACTTCAATTTTAAAGTGAGTTTTAAGCGCAGTGCCTGAGGTGAGGAAGTGGAAACACTTTTGCCTCAATATGGTGAATACAAAGTGAATCTCTTATTGAGTGCGCTTTACATGATATATATTTATTTATATATATTTGATGTGTCTATCAATTTGTATACTTGTTCAATGAGTATTGGTTTAGTGTAATGTCAATCAGTCTATCTGAAGGCAAACTTTGTATCAGAGACTGGACTTATGCCTGTATGAGCTCATATGTTTTTGCTGATGCCTCCCTGGCTATCACCCAATGGATATTAGGAATAAATAAGCATATTTCATTTTATAAAACAAGTTCAACGCGTTTGTCTAGATAAACGGCTTGTCACATCAGACAAAATAGTATATTCTAGATTTGTACAGCTGGAAGCTTAAAGTAAGTTACCTTTGTGGACGTCGATCGATATAAACTATATATCTTCTCGTTCACCAACTTGTATCTTACAATTGAGCAAGTGCATCTTGATCTACTCTATAGCAGAACTACAATTATATAAAATTGATGATTAAATTATCTAGAGCTGGAAAATTCAATTCTCTCCAGCTGGACCTCTAAATATCATAGCCTACTTTTTGGGGCTGAATAATTTCTTTATTTTATTTATTTATTGACTGAGGCTTGGCCCTAATTTCATATATATACATGTGTTGTTAAGGTACTATATTTAATTGTACAGGTTCTATACTTAATTAATTAAAAAAATTAATTAATTTAAAAAAATGTATTTATTTTTTATTTATAGTTTAATGTAGTGCTACGTTTAAGGCAAAGTTACCCCAAAAAGAAATGAATTAATACTTTTTTAAGCCTATTCTTTATGGTCTTTGGAGCATGCAGATATAGTGTGTAACTGCAGACAAGTTTTAAGAGGATATTTAATTTATTTTGGGTCAAGATCCGCTTTGATGGCCAGACACCAGTCTTAAGTATCGTCTGATTTGTCTTCTCGCTCTGCTACGTGGACTGGCGGTATTTTGTGCTGCAGCACTTAGACCCTAACTAGGCTGCTTGGATGACAATCTAAGCTCTCGAGATATTTGGGGCTAAACAAATATGAAAATATCAAATTTCAATTCTCCTTTCCTACTTTTCGCCTTGTCTAAGCTGCCTAATATGAATGGCCAATATTTGTTAGTCCCTTAGCCACAACAGTTAACAACATATGAAAATTGTGCAATCAATTTTTGTTAAGTAAGGGCATATGCTAAAAACAATAACTACTCGATGCTGCCAAGCCAAGAATTTGTCGTTTGCATTGAGCTTTGTTTAATTTTCCAATTTGAAAGTAAAATTTTTATTGCATAGCTCGAGGCGTTGCTGGGAAATGGAAATGTTTGAGTTGCGTAAGCTTTGTAAGCTCGTGGCTTGCTCTTGTTTATGCAACACTTGAGAATGTCTGGTAATTTATGGCAGATGCATTAACCTGGCAATAGCAAAAAGCCATTTTAATTTGGCCCAGCAAGATGGTCAGCCAGCCTGGGCCAACTACAATATTTGCGTAGTGTGAAATATGCCACAAATTAATTTGCCAAGCAAAACACAAGCCTAAGCCAATATGTTTATAGTCAAATTTAGGCCCGAGCAGAACTATGCCCAGTATCGATACTGAAGGTCAATTAGGATGGCCAGCATCACAGGCTGTTTGTCTTAACGCCTGTGACACGCACACGCACGCTCACTTAACGAGAATTTTGTGCTAAAATATGCTTAATTTAAATTCGATTTAAATGTTAATGCCATTTCACAAATCAAATTTCTTATTGATTGCGCAAATCGAATTGGGTGTTTGCGCAAGGTTAATTGTGCGCATTTCTGTGGACTTCAGAGCTAGAAATCAAGTCAGAAAGTTGGACTTCGTTGAAACTTTCCCAAGTGCCAACAAAACAGAAAACGCAGCTCAATAACACATTAGACGAACGCCAAAGTTAGTTGCGAAATCAATAAATTGTTAACTACTTTTTGGCCTAGTTATGGCTGTAAATGTTTTAATTGAAGCTTTCAAGGCTTGTCCATTTAAGTAGAAATTGTATGGAAAGCACAGCTACAATTAATTATCTGTCCAAATGGCATTTTTAATTTGGAGCTCAATCAATTCATAACAAGCACAAAAGCTTTTTTGATAGAAAATATCTAACGAGCAATTTGCATATTTATTTTGCAGGCTAAACAACAAACCCAATGCACTTGGTCAATGACAAAACAACAATAAGGCTTACAAACAAAACTACAATCTATATATATATATATCGATATATTCTCAATATATTTATGTAGAGCTTATTGAACCATGTTTCTATTGTTTGCGTGGCTTCAATTGGTCTGTGGCAGCACCACAGAGCCACAGCCGGACTGGCTGCTGGTCGGAAACACAAGCCGAGCTGCCTACGACTATCCAAATGATACGCTCCACAGCCCACAGCCGGAGGAGTATCTGCCAGCGACGGGCAGCTCGATACACAGCACGGATCTGCCCACGTACCAGCATTGCATGGAGACACGCAACTCCTTTGCGGATCTGTTGACTGTGGTGCTCTATGGCCTCGTCTGCATTGTGGGCCTGTTTGGCAACACGCTGGTCATCTACGTGGTGCTGCGCTTCTCCAAGATGCAGACGGTGACCAACATCTATATACTCAACCTGGCCATAGCCGACGAATGCTTTCTGATTGGCATTCCCTTTCTGCTCTATACGATGCGCATTTGCAGCTGGCGTTTCGGGGAGCTGATGTGCAAGGCGTACATGGTGAGCACCTCGATAACGTCGTTCACCTCGTCCATCTTTCTGCTGATCATGTCGGCGGATCGGTACATAGCTGTATGTCATCCCATATCCTCGCCACGCTATCGCACTTTGCACATTGCCAAGTTGGTGTCGGCGCTGGCTTGGAGCACCTCGGCGGTGCTGATGCTGCCCGTCATGCTCTATGCCAGCACCGTGGAGCAGGAGGATGGCATCAACTACTCGTGCAACATCATGTGGCCGGATGCGTACAAGAAGCACTCGGGCACCACCTTCATACTCTACACCTTCTTTCTGGGCTTCGCCACGCCCCTGTGCTTCATACTCAGCTTTTACTATTTGGTCATACGCAAGCTGCGCTCGGTGGGTCCCAAGCACACGACCAAGTCCAAGGAGAAGCGACGTGCCCATCGCAAGGTGACGCGTCTGGTGCTGACCGTCATCACAGTCTACATCTCCTGCTGGCTGCCGCACTGGATGTCGCAGCTGGCACTGATCAACTCGAATCCGGCACAGCGAGATTTGTCCCGACTAGAGATACTCATCTTCCTGCTGCTGGGCGCCTTGGTCTATTCCAACTCGGCGGTGAATCCCATACTGTACGCCTTCCTCAGCGAGAACTTTCGCAAGAGCTTCTTCAAGGCCTTCACCTGCATGACCAAGCAGGACATCAATGCCCAGCTGCAGCTGGAGCCTAGCGTCTTCACCAAGCAGGGCAGTCGTCGACGTGGCGGCTCCCGACGTCTGCTGACCACGAATCCCCAGCAACAGCAGCAACAACAACAGCCGCCACTGCTCTCGCTGCACATGGGCAACAACAACTCATCGACCACCACCTCCTCGACGACCACAGCTGAGAAGACGGGCTCCACCAATGCGCCCAAGTCTTGCAGCTCCAATGGCAAGATAACCGTGCCCACTTCCATGGCGCCAGAGGCAGAGAATCTGATAATTTGCCTCAGCGAGCAGCAGGAGGCATTTTGCACGACGACGCGGCGCGGCTCCGGCCTGATTCAGCAAACTGATCTATAAAACTAGTCTCTGACCGAAACCCGAACGAAAGAAAGTCTCTTATTAGATGTATGTGTATATATAGAATATATAGATGCCTGACTCGGGCACTCATAAAATACATACATATGCAGTTCTTCTACTCGCTCTCTCCCCCTCTCTCTCTCATAAGCAGTATTACTGGAGACTCCCAATGATAAGCCAAGCATCAGCATCACCCTCGTGTTTTCTTACTTATATAATTCAATACGACGAATTTTCAGCTCTAACCTTAAGATTAGCCCTAAGTTTTAAAAGTATTTTTAAAGGTGCATTTGCCGTTTAAATTTACTAGGCCTAAGACTTACTTCAACTACTGTGTAAATGTGCTTTTAAGTGTGACAAGAAATACAAGAATAAACCAATTATTAAATATCAACAGAAGAGTCAAAACTGATTGGAAACCAGAGGATGCAGCACAAAATTAACAACGTAATCCTATCAGGACAATAATCAAATCGTGGCACTCACGTCGTATACGCAACCGAAATGCAGCACAAAGGACAAATGCACTTTTATATGTGTATGTGTGCGTTGCGACTGCATTGGTCACGTTTTATATTTCACGGCATTTTACAAATTTGTCGCTTGGTCGTTCGCATTGCAGTGGCGCCGATTTCATTTCGGTTGTTGACTTTTAGCCAACACACGTTTCAGATTGTTTGGCCGCTGCTCATTGACTGGCTTTGTAGCTGACGTGCAGCTGGCCACAGAGCCCAGCTCATTGTCTGGCAAAGGATTGCCTCTCACTTATCTGCCAGCCGCGCCGCAAAGTGGTCTCGCCTTACGGTCACTCGGCACTGCGCCCAGCCATTGACAATGTCAATCAAAGGCGTTATTTAATTATACCGCAACTAAATCTGAATTAACGACCCGAAATGCACGCAATGCGAAATTTAATTAAACACAAATTAAACATAATTTTGCACAACTACTCGAACTGCACCTGAAAGCCTTTCGCTCGTGGCAAAAGTAATCAAATAATTGAAATCAGACTGCGACCGCATTGCGGCACTAAATGAGCAGCGCTTCGAGTGTGAGCAAATGAATTATACTTGAAGTTAATTTATTTCAATGCAGTTGACCCAACTCTTTCGAGTACTTTACGAAGGACTTGCATCAACTGCATTGATTTTAGTGATTCTACATACTTAGACAGACTATGACAGTTTCAATTTTAACTTTCCAGCTACTTTTACTGTTCTACATTGCTGGACTAGTTCCTAAAGTTTTAAAGTATCTTGAAAAGCTGCTAGTTTATAGTCAAACTATGTCCAGTTCTCTTATAAAATGAAGCCTTTATTAGCTATAACTCAGACATTTACTACTCTCTCTAAGTTTGTCATATATCGAATGAGCGTATTTTAGCACCTGTCAAACGAATGGAATTCGTCTATAAAGTAGCATATAAAAATCTTTTATCTTTAAATTTGAGATATCATTTAAATTTAACTGTTGAGCTGCCGAGATTTAACGAACAGTTTTAAGTCAATTCCAATGAAATTTAAGAAAATATATGTTCATCTTATTGATCGTAATGAGTTTGCACTCGATTAAGCGACTTTGGCTGTCGTGCTGTGCGCTCCCATAAACATATAATGATGTAGACTTAAAGACCTTTCAGAACTGTCGATGTATGCATAGCTAGAAGCATTCGTATGATAATCTATAAGTAACTAGGAGCGGCGCAATATGATCGAGCGAATGCGCTGTGAGAGCGAAAGAAGCATGGGAAGCAAGAAACATGAATGAAGGAAACGGAACCTATGACCACAATCTCTTTGCAAATCTAAATAGGTTAGGCCAAGTGCCGCTCTTAAATTCAATTATACTAATAATAATAATATAATAATATAATTCTATATATAATTCTATATATAATAATAATATAATTCATATACCATAATAATTCTATTATTTTATGTTTCAATGCTAATGAAGTAAAGCCTTTGAAGAACTACTAAAATATAACCTAACAAATATTATTTATAAATACTTTACAAAATAAATATATATAAAATTTTTTTTAAATGTTTCAACTTGCTTTTTTCCACGTTTCTCTCACATTTTTATCACTCACTGTATGCTGGCGCACCTCTACCTATAATCCACTAAAACAATATCTTAAACATGCTTTTGACCGTTTTTATAAAAATATATGCATTAAAAAATAAGTCACACGCGTTGAAAGTTATTCCCGAAGTGTGAAATGCAATTTGCCAGCGCATTCAGAAGTCAAAAGTAATAATAGAAAAGCCAAGATGCAATTTCTGGCGAAAAGGTAACTAACTGAAACAGAAAGAGCGCAACGAGCTGGTTTTTTGCAAATTTGTGCTGAAATTGTGTTGCACAGTTATTGAGCTGCCACGCGAGCTGCCCCATGCCACCTGGCTCAGCCCACACTGGCTGTTCGCGCAGCTGTAAACAAGTCCGCAATACACAGAAGTACGGCTTAGTCGATCCAGCGATATGTACATTTCCAAAGGTTTTACCCATATTTAAAGTAACATTTATTTTCGCTCCAGCAGCAGGTTGTTGCGCAGCCATGTTCCGTGGAGCGGGCTGCTGGAGGCGAAATCTTGCTGCAGACTTTGCGTGCTGGCACGCCGCAGCACATAAATCAATGGCAGCATTGGCAAAAGGCTGAGAGCCAAGTTTCTAAACTTGATTTAATGCCAGTGCACAGTCGAAGAAAATAATATAAAAAACGGGCTTTGCCGTACGCTGTAATAAGTATTGGAATCTCGACTTGAAAACCTTCGGCTTAAAAGCCTCTGCCACACTTCAAAGCTAACGACATAAATCAATGCAAAAAATTATTCATAAAAACGAACTTTTTTATTAACAGTGAACAGATATTCAAATAGTTTACCGTTGTTTATTATCAATATAATTTATATGCCAAAGAGTCTCTTTGCTTGAAAACGATTATAACGTGCTGAAATGCAAAGACTGCTAATTTAATATAATCTAAACAATTGAAGCTAAGTTTAGTCCGATATTAATATTTTTAGATTTACCTAAGCTTAATGGATGTGCCATATATCATATAAAGCATGTTTTTTAAGAGCTTTAGAGCTTTGAGTTGGCTTCTTTGATAATTATTTTTTATTGAGTTTGGTTCGACATTTCATTATGAATAGGCTCAGATCAGAGCAACGCTTGCAAATTGTTGAATGTTTTAAGCAAAATATTTTTTCTGTTTGTCAAACTAATCGCAACTTTTCAGATTGTTCCTCAAAGCTGAAATCATATTAAACATTGCAGTCATCAAATTTTCTATAAAATATATTACATTTCATTGATATTTAAAATATATTTTATTGTTGTATTCTGATTTAAACTTAGTCAACTCTAAAAAGAAAACCTCCATTAAATCTATTCATAGAGTAGCTTAAAGTTCATTCAACTGCTAAATTTCATATTTACTATAGAAAAGATAGTTTTTCTGATTTTTCACGCGCTTAATTTTCAGTTAATATATAAAGCAGCATATTAGTAATCTAACATATTTCGGATTCCTAGCTATTGAGATATAGTTAATTCCAATTTCCCAAATAGTTCCAAGCAGAGTTTATATATAATTTTTGGTCTAACTATAGAGGAGGTCAAGAGTATTTGGAGTGCAATAACAAAGTGAAAGCTACGATTTTCTCAATTTGCCACGCCCCTAAACTAATGCTAATATTTATGCTAGAACTAGAAATTTTCATTTCCCAGTAATATAAGCCAGAATAAACAGCAAGGCAAACAAATATACTTCATAAAATCAATCTACTCATTCCATTTCTCAAACTTAAATAAGTATAAATATATACAAAATTGCAAACTTGAAGTATATAAATATATTAAGCTCTCTCTCTCTCAAACATTCGTCACAACTCAGCTTTGATTATCCCAGTTTAGCTAACCTTTGTGCGACTGCACAAACAGCAATTGCTGCTCAAAATACAATTTGCAATTGCACATTGAAATCCTGCTGAGAGTCTGATATCTTTATAATGCACACACGCACCCACACACACTCGCACACACACACACACCCATACGCAAATTGAAAGCACTCAGCAACAACAACAAGTTGCAGAAAAAAATGATAAACATCTTTATACCGTGCCGAGTTGCACCCAAAAGTTTTGCCTGTCGTCGCCCACGCACGTAGTCAACGCATTTGGATTGCCTTTTTTTGGCCTTAACTCTGTTGGCTTTTTCGCCGAATTTCCATGCGAAAGGCAGAAAAATGTTTGCGCAGCCAAAGTCAAAGTGAAAGCAAAGCAAGAAGAAAGTTCAAGGAATAACAATAACAGAATTTCACGAATGTATTTAAAGGAAAATAAGGATTCTCCGCTCCTAACTGTAAATGGAATTAGAAGTTAGCCTGGCCAACAAATACTTGGACATCAATTACGGAAATTGTTTTGTGCCCACTGTCAAGTTATGAGCTCAGCTAAATGCCAATTTGCATGTGCAGCTGCTGCTGTGGACTCAGCCGGATAGCGACTGCTTCCTGCGGCTGCAGTTTTCTATGCAATTACAGCAAAGACGACTAACGAAACTTGTGTAATTGATATATGTGGTTGCATCTGGCAACTTTCTAATGGAGCTGCCTGACTGCGCCACGGCAGCAGCAGCAGCAGCAGCAGCAGCAGCAGCGCAGCCCTTATGGACTGCCCAGAAAAGTTGGTCAGTGCCCAGCGACGCAAAGTCTGTGGCTTGCGAAATTCGGAAAGCGCTTGATGCTAAAATTGTTGCTACGTGGCAGGAGATTGAAGTCTGACACAACTTGGATTACCCGGATAATTGCTTTCGAGGTGCGCCAGTCATAACCCAACTCAATTGCTTCAACGAGTGCTGCGTTTTCAGCGTGAGTATGATGCACATTTCGGAGTACTAGCTGAGCTGCATGTCGGAATTATGGTAAATCATTCGCAAGCCTTTAAAAGCGTTGCATAAGTAAATAATTTAGCTTATACTGTTTTTCCTCGTACTCCTACTATTTTAGTTCTGCTACTATTTGGTCGTCTCAGAAGAAGAATCAGTACGTATTCTTCTTTTGCTTACTTCT